GATGCCCGATAAATGCTTAGTGCAGAGAAGAGATTCTAAACTTCAACACTGAAATATATAGATAATCTTAAAGAAGAGCAGCTTCAATAGAGAAGGGAATTTAGAAATTTACTGAGGGAATCTTTTAGGATGCCAATAAGAATGACAGAAAGTATTGCTTCATTAAAAAAAAAGCCCAAGCCAGGGATTTAGCTCAGTGGTTTTGCCACCTGCTGCGCAAGCACAAGGACCTGAGTTCGATCCCTGGTACCAAACAAAACAAAACAAAAGCCCAAGAAGGGAAGAGGGTATAAAAAGAATTAAGATGTGCTATGTACATGTACCAGCTCTCACAATGAATGTAATCATTACGTACTGCAAACAGGTACTAGAAAAAGATCTCTGGTCTATTCCCAAACCGATCAGTTCTATGACTGGGTTATAAGGAAACCAAGATCTCAAGTCCTTCAGCCTCTTTCCCAGTTGACCACACAAATATCATCATCTTCTAGGTGTGCCGCAAAATGAAAAGGGTCAGAAAGCATCTTTATTTTCATAGGTTTGTTTGATTCTGTGATTTGTAGACTATGTACTTCCAGTAAGATTTGAGAATGCTGTGGGTTGCATTATGGCTCCCTCTTGCCCAAGTTCACCTTGGAACCCTACACCAAGTATCCCAGAATGTGGCCTTCTTTGAAAACAGGGTCATCGCAGATGACACTAGTAAATTAAGCTGAAATTATTAGGTCGCCTTAATGTAGTATGACTGATGTCTTATAAAAAGGGAGAAGGGACAGGGACAGTAATGGACACAGGGAGAATCCATGTGAAAGTGAAAGCAAAGGAGACCAAAATTTGCTAGCTTTCAGCAGGATACTGAGGGGAGGAATACTGAACATTTTCTTTTTTATTTTCGTTACAGTATACTTAATTGACAAATATTTTATCTAAGGCCTACACTGATGTATATGTATAGATTGTATGATAATTATCATAATCAGATTAACACATCCATCACTACTGTGCTATGTATGAGCTACTCAGAATTTTTTATTTTATAGTTGAAATCCTATACCCTTTGGTCAACATATCCTTATTTCTCCCACCCTCTAACTCTTAGCAACCACTGTCCTACTCTGTTTCTATGCATTTGACTGTTTTAAACTCCACGTATAAGATCGTAAAGTGTTTCCTCACCCTTTCCCCCCCAAAAGTTTATTCCTTTGGTTTCTGAATTACATAGACGTCAGTTCAGTACACCTATTGTAAGATTTTCTTTGTTTTTGTTTTTGTTTTGTTTTGGTTTTGACACAGGGTCTCACCATGTAGTTCAGGCTGGCCTTGAACTCACTATGTAGCCCAGGCTGGCCTCAAATTCGAGGCAATCCACCTGCCTCAGCCTCCCAAGTGGTGGGATCACAGGCATGCACTACCACACCTGGCTGGTTCGATACATGTATTGAAAGGTCAGTGAGTACCACTTGTACTGTGCTGAAGCTAAAAGAAAGGACAGTCTCTACCCCAAAGGTAGATAGAGTATTGGGATGACAGGTAAACATAATTTAAATATAATGTATAAAATACTGAGATCCAGTATCTATATGACATTTTGGCAGCATACATAGGAAAAAGGCATTTTCCTTAGCCAAAGGATTCAGAGATTTTCTGGAATAGATAATGGCTGGGCTGCTTTTGAAAGAAAAAGAAGAATAAACCAAATGAGAAGAATGGATGTTTTAGACAGAAGGAACACATAACTAAGATATGAAGATACAGGTAAAATGGTATGGATGGGAATTGTAACTATGTATATCTGTACTGTTAATTATATTTATAACTCAATATAACTAGAGTGAAAAGTATGAAACAACAAATACCAAGAATTGAAGATGCCAAGGCATGTAAAGACTACAACATAGGAGAATTGTTTCATCTATTAGGAAACATTAATTTTGGATTCAATGATATAAATAGAAGAATTATAACCCCAGAATTGATTGGGCCAGGGATGTAGCTCAGTGGTTCCGCTGCCTGCCTCGAAAGTGCAAGGTCCTGAGTTCGATCCCCGGTATCAACAAAACAAAACAAAAACAACCCCAGAATCATTCATCAT